TGAGTTGCTTGAAATTCCAAGAGCAGAATTTGAACTGCTGAGAGTTGCATATCTCTCCTAGATTCTCTGTGGATTTACCTCGTCCCTAGAGAGGGGGACTCCTGTGCCCTGAGCCTTCCTGGCAGGCACACCACTTAATGCTTTCAACATCTGGCTTGTTGGGCTGGGCTTATCCAACTTCTGGCAGCGCTCTGTGTCCTTACCACCTGCTAAATCCTAACTAGTGATATTGGTTTCAGCCTTTCAGTCCTTCTAGCTCTACCTGTCTTTGCTTGAGAAGACCTTCTCTGGTTGTATTCTGAAATACGAACAGCACTTAATTTTCTTTTGCCTTGAGATATAAGGAAAATCTACCCTTCTAACATTTTGCTACAAAACTTTTCTTAAAGAGTATGGAACTTAGATGTTGGAATACTGATACAGCATAATGAAATGCTAGTTTGAATTAATACACCATGATTTGCTGACTTGTAATTGTGTGTGATATAGCACTAATAATAAGTACCAAACCTTTGGAGTCTGACTACTGGAGTAAAGTCCCACTCATATCACTTGCTAACTCCATGGTATAAGACAAGGTTCTTGGCCTTTTTGAATTCTAATTCCTATGTTTGTAAGATGCAGATTAAATTGATAGTTACCTTATGAAGATTAAATGTGCTCACATATATAGTAACTTATACAGAATGAATATTACATAAAAGCGATCAGTTACCACTCATTATATCACATTATAAAAATGATAGGAATCAGCTGTGTTGAGAAAATGAACATAGTGGAGACTGAAGCTTGGGTTTTAAAGTTACCTTGAATTCCCATACGAAGGAATTCAGGTGGGTACATTTTCATGAAGTCTCCAGAATATTTTTAACGCGATATTAATCAAAAAATGTGTGTTCCACGATGGCCAAAAGTGATACGGTAACATGTCTATGTCATATACTAAGTATAGGAATAATAAGGGCAAAAAGAGTTCAGCCACAAAACAAAATGCATTACAGAATATCCTACTTTGCTGACAATGACAGATAGTACTAACGTTGTATAGCTTGCGTGTGTGAGTTGCGTTTTAACATGTTTTTGGCCCAAGTTTCAGCCCCATCCACTAAGATTTGTAATGTATGTGTCAGATTGCAAGTTAAAGCCCAGATTGGATCAATATGTGTGTATGTGAAATGAACTGTTTGCATTCAAATACCTGGGTAAAGCCTTGTAAACAACACACACAAACACACACACACACACACACCCTAGCAAACTGCTTTGAGGAACTTACCAACCAGGGTGTAACTTATTATTCCTCCTTTGTACTTTCCTTTTCCCATTTATCCATCCATTCAGTTATCCACACTTCTATCTACTCGTCATCCATATTTTACATTGGGCATCATGTCGATTTTAGATGGCAGAGAAGAATCACAATTTCTACCCTCAACTATCTAACTAACTAACTTTCTATCTAACTCATGATACAACCATAAAAATCATGACTCAGTCTGTGCTATAAAACTGAAAATAATGAAGTACTGTAAACATCATTTGTAAAAATATTTTCAATAGCACCAATAGCAGATATTTACTAGGCTAACAGAAATGAAAGCTAAAGATCTGAAGAAGTCCCTCTCTCCTAGGGAAGTCTTGTATGGCATCCTGACACACATGGGACCTACAGTTTTTGTCAGAAGGCTTTGACTTCAATCCATACTTGTGAAAAACCAAAATGTACTTATATGAAGAGAACAATTTCATGTTTTATACACATGGTTTTAAGAGCATAATGATATTCCCATCCTTACTCTCACCCACCTGTCTTTTTTATTTTTCTTTTAATTTTTGCAATGACAAACTTTACATCTATTTTCCAGAGTTTAGGATACCTCTCTCAAATGACTCTAGTGAATACTGCCTGGAGATGCAAAGCGAGGAAATGAAGGACTCAAACATGTAACACATCCTGCTCTGGGCTAAGAATTTTCATACAGATGACCTCAAATAGTTTTTCCACAATTAAAGCCTATTACTAACATTTCATTAACGAGGACACTGAGGTATTTATGTTGACAATAATAGGATGTGGGCCTATGAAACCCAAGATATATTCTCTTCATATCAATAGTTTTTTGAAAACTTAGTTGCTTTCTTTCCATTGTAAAATCACAGGATAATCAAAGTGCTTCATTCATGAAAATTATACTGAATAACTAATATGTGTCAAATGATTTATATTTAGTAAACAGAATATAATGGTAGTTGTTACTATAATACAAATAATTTGCCACGTATTATGAAATCATATACTTATCTGAACAAAAATTCCCAAAACCTTGTCTTATAAGTGCTTCAAAATTGGATGTGTCTGTGGTACCCCCTTTTAATGTGCAAAATGTTATTCCCAACATGCCAGAGATTTGGATGAGAAAGTGTAATCAAGAAAAAAATATGTTAAATCAGCCATCCGATCTCAGTGAGAGGAACAAATATTTCAATTCACTGATTATGCTGATTACAGATATAAAGAATGACTAAACGTCTTAATTTTAAAATTAAAAGCAGTCATTTTTTTCTTTTGAAAATCATCAAAAGAAGAAAAATCAAATTTCCTACTAGTTAAAATGCACCCTACTCTATCGCCCAGATTCAAATCCAAGTTCTTCTAATTATCTTGTAATGCTTTCTGTTTCTTCATCTCTAAAATGTAGAAAATAATTGTACCTGTTTTGGGACTGCTGTGGGGATAAAAGGAGTTAATACAGTGTGATGTATTCAAGGCTTGCAGTAAGCACTATGCGTCTGCTGAAAAACGTCGGAAAAATCATGCTTAATCAATAATTCATAAAAGGTTTAGTAATCAATAAATAATGCATACATTTTACTTGCCATTTTGACATTAACCCTAAAGAAACATGTTAGAGTATATTAGGGAATGGTCTTCACAAATTAGCAAGTTTTTGGAATGGATATTGGGAATGAAATTTAAATGTAAGATATGAAGTCTTAGAAACACTTGAAAAAAGTCTTGAAAGGCGCTACCTAAAAGATCTAAAGATGATAGAAGGAAATCTAATTTTTTCATCTAAGCATTATCTAAAATAGTGGTAAGCTAGAGAGTCAGGCTTTTGGCGACACTAAAAATCTCAGATGAGGAAGTCAACTGGCATTTTGTCTTATTTATGGGTTGTAACTAATGTTTAAAAGTAAGTGAATTAAAAAAAGGGTAAGCGAATCACTCAATTAACAAGGAGCACAGGAAAGGATGTAGTACAGGTGTTCCTCAAGGCAGAGGCCTATGCAAGGGCAGTTAAAACATACAGAACGTCACAAGCCCACAGTTAAGAAGGACAGCAGAAACAGCAAAAATATGAATCCATTACATTTTGGCAAAGCTTTCACGCTGTACTGCTAGTTGATGGAGAAATGGGAATAGTGAGTGTGACTATGGAGCATGTTCTAGAATGAGCATAGGTGAGGGACAGGCTGTCTTAATTATTATCAAACATCTTTCCCTCACTGCCTCCTAAGCTTGCCTGATCATGTGATTTTCTTCTGAAAATCCTCTAATTCCTGGATTAGTATTCCATGAATTTGACCTAAAAAAGGGTAAGCATTTGGTGTTTCCGACGGTCACTTTTCTTTACAAATATGTTACCAATGTCCAAAACTACAGCAGCCATCATCAATATCAGTCATGCTATTTCCCATAAACTGCAAATACTCTTAAGAACACTTAAAGTACATTAGAAAAGAATACTTTTACCGTCTATAATTATAGCATTTGATAATTGTGAATGTGAAATTAGGAGTGATATCCTGTTTTATAATATCACAATTTCCATAAATGTAGGAAACATATTTTTAAACTTAATGGGTTTTAATAAATAAGTGAAACACTGACACTAGATACTAACCTATGTTCTCATTCAATTATTTATCAGATATTTATGGAGTGCTGAATATGCGTGAAGCATTTCAGACTGTTAGTAAAGAGTTCGAAATGACCCTTTGAGAGTAACCATGTGACACCCAAAGAACTAGTCAAATATATATTTTCAGTGAGGAAGAAACCAGGAGAGGTTCATGAATTTAGAACTCAACTGAACACCAAATTCTCATCTCTAAAATTTTTCTGGCATAATTCTGGCCAGAAGACACATTGCAGCATGAACAAGGAAAAGTAAGCCCTGGCCATTATGCGTTACATCTCTGAAACTGGCACCTGACAATTCTGTAAACATGCACAATTCCACTTTTCTCAGATTCTTTACTTTGAAATTGAAGCTAATGTGCTGCTGAGCTCACAAGGTTGTCTTGGCTATTAAGTGGAATAACAAATTTACAGTATTTTAAAAACGGACTACATTTAAACACTGCTATCCTATAACTGTTTAAAATCATTATTTGAGTTGTATATAATTGCATGCCAAGCTATCTTATTTTTTCTTCTTCTGTGTGGCAAATTTTATTTTAAAAACAGTAGCTTCAAATATTGTATGTTTTCTTTTTCTTCCAAATTTTATGGGAAGAATTTTAGGGAGCAGACGTGTTTCCCCCGGTTTACTGGCCTGTGTCATTCTCCCCTCAAGATGTCATGGTCTGTATCGTTGTTGGTTTCCACTGTGCATTAATCCAAAAGGACTGACTAGCCACGAGGGACAATGAAACGCAGCTAAAGGGGAACTGCCAGAGAAGGTCACTTTTGCCAATTACTGAGAAGAGGTTTTTTCTTAAAAGAACACAGCTTGACTTCCCACCACCACCAAGTAGTTGAAATCGTCGGTCTACAGCACAGCAGTATTTTCCTAAATAACTTTTCTTAAAGCTCAATTATTTCTTGGTAAACTAATGTCGACAATGTGTTTTTCTTTTTTTATATTAAAGCCTTTACTTCAAACACTGAGATTAATTAATCCAACCTGCTATAATAATTGCGCTGACACATCAGGAATTTCGCCACAGACACAGTCTAGCAAACAAGGTGCCCACCCCCACAAAATTGGACTTACCGATACATCGTGGACAGGAGGAAGAAAACGATCTTGGAGGTCTGCACTCACTGAACCCGACTTTCTAATCAAGTGAATGACATCTCTAAATATATTGGATGTCTACAGCTAGAAGAAATAAGGAAACAAATTACAAGTAGTTGAAATGAAACTAGTTCAACAAGTTTCAACACAGAAGCCTCAACCCATAGAACTGCTTGAAGAAAACAGTCAGACAACATAGTCCCAACAAGAATGCATTTGTTTTTTTGTATTGGCTAATTTTGTTAAAGGAGTGCAAGGATTTGATTTGAACGAGTAATACCTTAGGAATGCACTAGGATTAAGAGTTTAAATACGATTGTTGGTAAGTATACAAATACCTTAAAGAAACCTTCACCAAAAGGCTTGCAGTGAAACCAATCAGATATTCTTAAATGTGTAACTCACGAATTACTCCGTAAATACTTTTTGAACAGCAGATATCTTCATGCCTCAAGATGAAATATTGAATATTAATACACATTTAAAATACCTTCATCTGAGAGTACAAATAAATACATATCAAATCAAGATTTTCCCCAAAATGACATAATGGGATAAATATACAAAAAGAGTAAAAAGGAAACATTTTTAACTAGACAGTATTATCGGTTTATGATTTTGTACTTGTTGAGCCATGAAGATGGGACTGAAGCCTTATTTGACCAAATCATAACTTTGGTTCCCTTTGTTTTCAGAAACATCTGATTATTGGGTCTGTTCTTCTATAGAACAGGCTAAACATCTACACACACACACAGAGCTCCTATACACATCTATAGAGAAACATTAATGCATCTTATGAAAAATGTTTTGTTTGGTTGTTTGTTATTTTTTGAACCTGTCATTGATACTGTCTCAACCCAGATGTTTCGAAGAAGGGAACTTGCATTATTTTTAACATATTGTTTACCCAATACTATGTCAATTAATTCCATAATGTTGTATATTGATACTGAGGCCTTGTTGGGGCTTTTAACTGACCGGATCTTTACTCTGTTAGACCTATCTTCAGACCATAGAAGGTCTCCCCAAGAGGCCACTGGACTTATCTGGACAATAAGATGCTGAACTTTATGCTAGGCATGTGTTTGCAAGCAATGAATCTCAACTGAACTTGAACCATGGTTATGCAACAAGGTGGAGGAATCCACCATGGGGGGAGGGGTATGGGAGGGGTGGGGGGAATCCCCAGCGCCTATAAAACTGTACTACATAATACAATGTAAGCAACAATAAAAAAAAAAAATGCATAACCATGAAAAAAAAAAAAAGAAAAATGTTTTGCTTACAGTATTGTGTAATTTGAAGAGCTTTCTATCTGGGAAGACAGAGATCTTAAACAGCTACATGAAGAGTAAGAATATGACGTGTTTGGTGCCTATTACACTGTGATAACCAAATGGTACCCGTTTAATTTCCCCACTTAGAGGAAAATACTGCTTTCAATAAAGATTTTTTTAAGTCACTGCTTTTAATATTTTGAAAGTTACATGGAACAAAGTCTTTTTGGCAGCCTAATGTGGTACTTTAAATCTGGAATCTTTAGAGTTAGAATGTAAGCATGTAAATCTTAGTATTTTCCATGTTTATAAAAGTAATACTAATACTAACTCCCCAATATTTTGTGAAATATTAATGACTATGTAAAATATTTAAAACGGTACACTGTGAAATGGGAACACTATGGAAATACTGGCTATTATTATTAGGACTTTGGTTCATTTGCATAGACTTCCTTTTTAAAAATCTGTTTACTCGAAGACAGGAAACTGTCTCTCCTGTCTACTGGTCTCTCTGGCTATTCCCTGGGTTCCACAAAGGCTGGGACCTGGGACTGTGGTGCCTGTCTCCTGCGAGGGTGAGACACATTATATGAGCTACCTGCTGCCTCCTGTGTTCCCCAGTGGCAGGAAGCTGCAGTTAGGAGTTTGAGCAAGGCATTGAACCCATACAGTTTGATGCGGGACACTTGAATCTTAATTGCCAGGTTAAATGCCCTCTGCCAGGAGAGAAAAAGTTAAGATCATTCTATTGAGTTATGTGAGGAACAAGATAGTTATATTCCATCTTTGGTTTTTCTACTGTTAACTTCCTCACATGTAAGCAGAATTAATAATAGTTTTTCAGGATATAATTTTAATCTTCTGTATGTCCACAGGTTTAATTTTTCACTAATAATATTCAACAAGTAAAAAGCAGAGAGCTCACAGTTCCACAGGAGTATCAACAATGTCTAAAAACAACAATGAAATCCTCCAAATACTAATTTCTTTTCAATATTTTTTTTGGGTATTCTATATTTACTGCCAAGCATTAGAAAATGTATTTCTGGGAATATCTTATTTCACTATGTATAATAGATTCCAGTTGCAGGCATTTTGTTTCAAAAGGCAAGATTCATTTTTTTTAATGGCCGAGTAATGGTTTCTTAGCGTATACATGCTATGTTTTCCTTATCCAGTCATCAGCTGATGGACACCCAAGTTGATTTAATGTCTTAACTGTTGTGAAATGAGCCACTTTAAACATAGGGGTACAGATAACTCACTCATATGCTGATTTCATTTTACTTGGGCACATTCACAGAAATGATATTTCTTGGTCATTTGGTGGATTTACATTCAACTCTTTGAGGAATCTGTCTTTCATACAGTTATACTAGTTTATATTCCCACCAACAGCAGTTTAGGGTGTCTTTTTCTCCACATATTCCGCTCTTTTATTTTTGAATGATAGCTATTATTTTGGGGATAAAGTAAAACCCCATTTGGTAGGTATTTGCATTTTTATGATGGCTTGAGCCTCAAACTTTTTTCATTATCTGTTGGCCATTTGTATTTCATCCTTTAAAAAATGGCTTCTAGGGCCCAGCATGTAGCCTAGCAGCTAAAATCCTCTCCTTGAACATGCTGGGATGCCATATGGATGCCAGTCCTAATCCCAGTGGCCTTGCTTCCCATTCAGCTCCCTGCTTGTAGCATGGGAAAACAGTCGAGGACGGCCCAAAGCTTTGGGATCTTGTACCTGTGTGGGCAACCCAGAAGAAGCTCCTGACTCCTGGCTTCGGATCGGCTCAGCTCCGGCTGTTGTGGCCACTTGAGAACTGATTCTTTGAACAGGAGATCTTCTTCTCAGTCTATCCTCCTTTCTGTATATCTGAATTTCCAATAAAAATGAATAAAACTTTAAAAATGGCTGCTAGTATCTTTATAAACTTACTAACTGGATTATTTGCTTTCTTATTGTTGAATTCTTTAACTTCTTTATAGATCCTGGATATTAATCCCTTTGTCAAGTATGTAATCTGCAAATGTTTTCTCCCTTTGTATTGATTGCGTCTTTACTTTCTTGTTTCCTTTGTAGTACAGAAGCTTCTTAGTTTGAGATAATCTCATTTGTTCACATTTTATCTTTATTTACTCAACTTCCAACAGTTTTGTCTAAGAAGTCTTTGCATGCACTCATAATTTACAAGGCCCCCTATATATTATCCTACAGTAATTTGATGGAATCAGTTCATATATTTAGATCCTTAATCATTTTGTCTTAGATTTTGTCAATTATCAATCTAACTTAAATTGTCCTGTTATTGCTTTATGATTATCTCATATTCCCATGCCATATTAAAAAAAAAAGGTCTACATAAAGTTGCAGAAAATGTACATTATGAAAAAGCTGCACTTGGAGTTAGTTTTTTTTTTTTTTTTTTACAAAATAAACATCTTTAATTTTCTGTGGACACTAGGGAATACCTATGTATTTGATATGTAAACATTATGTTTTTAGGTAATAACCTTGCACCTTCCTTGAGGGATATGTAAGATGTTTCTCAGCTTATTTATCTATTGCTGCTATTACTCTTTATTCTGAAAATAAAAATTTAAAAAATTGGCACCAGTTGACATATTGTCATGTTGGAATGAAGAAATGGAACAATACCACACCATTAAGGAATCATTTTACATAGCAGCTCAGTCTCTGTTGTATTATGACAGTTCAGAAAAGCCTAGTACGATAAATACCGCATTTAAAAATATTTGCTTAGTTCTTTTAATGTTCTCTGAAGTATTTGGAAAATAAGTTGGCCATTGGCAATAGAAGCAATCATTTCTTACTTGCATTATCAATTTTTTTTACCTCTTCAATATTTCAAACTATCTTACTGAAGTGACAACTTTGGATCCAAATTTCTGCTATTCTTGATCTGATCCTTTGAGTAGACAACCAGTGCTGGGGCACGGGGGAGGGAGAGGTAATACACAAATTGAGAAAATTTTAAATTACTGACCATGATTGTAAAGTGTGCTCCCTAATACTCTAATACCCAAGCCCACCCCAGAGTTCAAGAAACCAACGCCCACCTAGTAGGCTGGCCCCAGGATTTGGGCCAGGTGATCCATACCGCACCAGTTCCCCTGTCCCCCAGGGAATGAGAATCCATCCCCCACCACACATGTGGGCCCCATGGCCTGAGCTAATTTACCCAAGCCCTGTCAGATCCCTTGTCCCTGGGATTCACATACCTGGTACCCTTTTGGTCTAGGCTAGCATGACACGCCTCACCTGAGCTTCTGCAGTCTCCTTGTGCCATCTGGCCTAGTGTAGTCTGCCGCCTGCTCACACAAGAATTTATTTATTTTGCTTTTTCTTTTTTTAATTTTAGCCCCTACATATAAGGAAGAACTTGTGCATTTGTCTTTATGTTTTCAGTTTGTTTCACTCAACATTATGCATTCCAATTGCATTCATTTTGATGCAGGTAGTAGAATTTCATGGTTTTTTTTAATAGAAAAAATAACATTCTGTTATGTGTGTATAAGTCTCTAAACATCTTTGCTATTCATGTGATAGTGGACATCTTGTTGGATTCCGTATTTTTGCTACATGATGGTTCTGTTGCCTTTTTAATTGTAGTAGCTTTGTAGTATGCTCTGAAGATAGGCATTGTAATGCCTCCAGCTTGTTTTTTTTTGTTTTTGTTTTT